TTTTTTTTTTTTTTTTTTATTAAGTATCCTTGCAACTGAACTTGATGTGCGAACTATTGACGATAGATTCCACAACATCAAGGTTAAGGTTTATCACGCTTCGGAGTTTCCCGAGGTAGCAACGAGCTAGTGTTCAAAACTATCTTCTCGCATAAAGTGGTTTTTGTAGCATGCTTGTTGAATAATAGAAGGGACAGTATTGTCATCGTTGGTTCTATGATTCGAAGGGTTAATTATTCGTTAACTAGTCCTCTATGCTCTAATTCACGCGGTGTGAAATTAATATAAATACCGCCATTGGGTTAGAGTTTTGTATATAAAATGTAGTTGCAGTGTGTCTGTTCGCATACACGATTTGATTTCTTTCTCGTGTATACATTGTTCTAACTGTATATAACTTGTCAAATAATTTCACCCGAAAGATGATTCGTTTTCAATTTTCCTTTCAGGACACGTAATTTAGTGTTGAAAAATAAACGAGGTATATAAATATTTGGTGTGACAAGAAAATTAAAAATAGCCTCTCTCGTATATGTGTACATTGTGTAGGAATGTTTCGACGTTTAATCCAGCTAGCATGCGATTTCTATGTGTTTTGCTTTCCTCGATAAGATCAAGTTCGTGCATGGTCCGGTGCTGTTTCAGCGTTGCGAATATTGATAATGGTAAAAGTCTCTCGTGCTGCGATAAGATTATCAGTGAAACGTACGTGAAAAAGTCACGCGTACAACTCGATGAAATTTCGTGAAAGTAATAGGCGTCATCGCACTATGAAATATGTGCACACACTGTAAATAGAATGACCGGTGAATGTATTTGGGGACGATCTATGTTGTACGAGACGCAACAGTTGGGGAAAAGCTGTGAGTGCAACGTGGACCAATATTCACATGAGCAACGAACATTCACCGTATACTGGCTTGTTTAAAATGTGAATAATTCAATTCCGACGATCGGCGAGTGAAATTTGCATAGTACGGCGATTATTTACATATAACAATGCTCTTACGTGATTAAACGAATGGAACTTTAACGGTAAATAATTGCTAAATTATTACCAAGTAAACGATTATTAAATTTATAAAATCAAAATAAATCGATCTCCCATTGAGATTTTAGGTAAAGAAGATAGTATTAAATATTTAAATCTGACAGTCAGATTGAATTATATACATTTGTAGGTACTTCGCGAGATTGACGAGCATAAATAAAAATCGGTGACGTATATTCTAGAGGTGTCGGTCGGGTTATCCCTTTTTGCTGGTTGAACGGTAGTAATTGTATCCTGAAAATTGCCGTGCAGTAACGAGCAGCGGGTGCAATTTCGTACTTGTTGAATAGTTCGAAAGGTTTCTCGGCGTTATTTTTAGAGTGTCTCTTTTTTTCCATTATTTTCATTCATAGCGCGTTAATAGAGTACAAAGTATAGCAAATTCGAACGATCAGCTAGTAATATCGCGGCCACGATAGGAATAATCGTTAACGACGATAAAATTATTCCACAGGAATAATCTTATCTAAACTTATGTACTGACAAAGTCAGTGACTCCAAAGTTTCATTACTTTCTTCTTAGCTCAGACTTTACCATCAAATCATTTTGTCCTTTCAATTAACATCGTATCTCCAGCAGCAATCATCTTTCGTTTCGATAATCATTGCCAATTATAATTATATTATTTTGCAAAAAGTGCGTACAAGTTTGCTCGCATTTGCGAGTCGAGTTTATACAAACTACGTTTACGTTTACACGTTTGAAATATTTTATCGACACGGTCGCGCAGATGTAAAACGCTTAATCTCGAAAGTTGAAAGGGAAAAAAATGAAACGCATTGTGTATCGGAATTTGTAACTATACAAGACGTCGTCACCCGTTGTCAATGCTTAATTTTAGAGCTACGTGAGATATACTTGAACGTCATCGACTTGAAGCAATGCAATTCGATATGCGAGGAACGTATAAAAGAAAAGGTGTTCCTTGTCTGTCGAGGTCATTTTCCTAATTGCATTTAGCAGTACGATCGTTCAATTCATAACATATTGATAATTACTAATTCTAATGTATAATTACTAAACAACGAGATAGTTCAAACTATATAGTAAAAAAAAAAAAAAAAAAATAGCAAAAAATTAGTATAAAACTGGTACAAAGAGAAGGAGAAGGAGAAGGAAAGAGGAATAAATAATACGCAATTATTTTTCCAAGATTGTCTAGTAATGGTGCGATAATAATTGCGCGTGATCATTCAGCATCGCTTGAGCATAACACGGTGACCCTGTTTCATACTTGCTAATTTCACTGATCCGTTTACAACGTAGCGAGGAACAGGATTTAACTCCGACGCGACATCTGTGCCGAGGTGCGATCGAGAAACGATTACGCTATATACGTAATGCAGTTTTACGATTGGTCCTTGGTAAAGAAATCTATTGCAAACCAAGGTTCCAACGCGTCTCGAGGAACACGTAACAATTATCCTTTGTTTTTGATGAGCAACGCTAGTTGGTTTCTACTTCGTTTCGATGGATTTTCAACCATCCACACGAGACCATATGTCTCATGAGTATTCCTTTATTTTGAACACGTAGATCCACGGATTGACGAGAAACGTGTTTGTTTGGTTTATGGTCTTGACTTTTATGCAGGAAAAAGTATTTGAATATTTTAGCATGATTTTTGACATTTTATCATCTTTAATAAGATACG